GCCTAGCAAGGGCACCACGGGCCTGCTGTCAGGGGCACCTCAGGCTCCCGTGCCCCCCCCCCCCCGCTGGATCCGCCAGTGATGCCACACCACGCGAAACAACCGCCAACTACCAGCTGCCGCGCCATAAACACGTGCCAACCACAGTCCACAGTCTTTTTTTGAAGGTGGCGACTCCGCTCGCGCAACTTTTGACTGACCCTCACTGCTACCATATTGCCTCCATATTATGCTGTGGAAAGTTTTACTTCACCAAGTGGCTAAAAACCTCCATCAAGGTATATCTTCTTAGCAATTTTTCTGACGTTTTGGGGGGGGGGGGGCAAACAGGCCACTTTAGGCCTTTGGGGGGGGGGGGGCATGGCCCTAAATGCCCCCCCCTGGATCCGCCAGTGATCATCGTGTTCGCCCTGCTGAGGCGCGTCGAATGGTATACTTTTTGTTCGGGTGAAGTCAGCTTGTGGTGTTGACCCCAGCCCCAGGTCAAGGTCAGGTCAGCGCACCCCAGGTAGCGAAGGTGGTCGAAGGAGGTCATGTCACATATCATTAGATTTGGAAGGTCTTCCTGAGTCAATTGGCGGCTTTCCCGACTCGCTAGTTCAATTTGATCGGGAGGTTATTGACGAAAAAAATATGACAAGTAGCGTCATACATAAATGACGTCACGCTAAGTTGACCCTCGCATGTGTGCGGCGTTTGCCAGCTTCTAATGTGTGTGTGTGTGGGGGGGGGGTCGGTTGGACCCCCCCTTGCCGTTTCGCCCCTGATCGAGCTAGAGCTTCGCGGAAAAAAACGAGCGTGTTGCCCGTGAAAAGAGGAAGCCGATGATACCCAATTTTAAGGTCCTAGGTCATTGGTTGACCTTCCAGGTCAGGTCAATGACCCAAAGTCGGGAAAATCGGGACCTATTAGAAAGTCGTAAAGTGTGGCTGCTAAGGGGTTTTTCGGGGTGCTGATCACGAATATCGTGTTAGTTTTGATCACAGATGATGTCTTTAAGTATTTAGACCAGGTCGGGTCAGGTCAGGTCAGGTCAACCAGTAGGGGTTGTGACGGGTATTCGTAGTACGTGTCAACCGCCTCTGGCAGCTTCGTAACATGTTACGAAGGCACCAAAACTACTTTGTAAATGTTCAAATGGTTGCTAAATTCGAATTCAGCTCCAAAAACTGGCCTAGAAACATGTAAAACTCGAAAAAGTGAACCGAGGTCACCCGAGGTCACCAAAGGTCAATGACCTGACCTGACCTTCAGGTGACCTTGACACCCATTCTAATGCATGGGAGCAACATCAAATCACATGTTTGAACGTTTGAAACCACGAAAAGCTTGCAAACGCGCGGCTAATGCTAGCCGACATACGCGGAATCGCGATTCCGGCCAAACATGGTCTCGGAAAAGAGGTCACATGTCAAAGGTCATTTGGGTCAGGGTCATGAAATTTTTAGGGTAGGTGTAAAATTGATCAATAAGAGGGTACTGAAAGTTTCGTCGCGATCAGCCGCTTTTTACGCGAGTTATTCGCGAAAAACCATGGGGGGGGGTCCATCCGACCCCCCTACACATGCGAGGGTTAACAATGCAATAGTGAAGCATGGGACCTTGCAAGGAATGCAAGGAAATCATGATTTCTTGCGCTTGATATAGTTTGAAATCGTTAACGGTGCTAAAGTAGCAGTTTTCATTTTTCCCATTGACTTATAATGGTGAGGTCAGGTGACCGAACTGACCTCATGTGGCCTCAAGGAAAAATCCGAGATATACAAGCTTTGAGACCTCTGGAGGCTACTACATCCTGCAATATTCATCTCTCTGTGAAAGCTCCTCTGGCACTGAGGGCGCTGCGAAGTTGCGATATCTGAAGACCGTGCAGAGGTTCAGCTATGACGTCATAAGTCAGTGACCTGATCTGACCTGAAAATGCGGCTGAAGTCACAAGATGTGGCTTGGATCAAAAGCTAGGTATGCGAAGTTTTAGCTCTCTATCACCGGCGTGTTTGGAGCTATCGCGAAAAACCGTATTGGAGGGGGCGGCACCCCCTTCCCTTCCTTCGGCCGGCGAGGGTTAACCTTTTCGTCGTCAGTGAAACGTTAAAAGGTGACAATGATTTTTTTTGAAAGTGGGTTGCTGAAGGGCATAATGCTGAAGCATTCAGTTGACTTTTCGCCGTCAGGTCATCACAAGGCAACTAAACACCTAAGGTCTTGTCAGACGTTGGCCAAAGTTTACCTAAAAAGTTAAAACATTTTTGGCATTTGTGAGAAAACAATGCATCGAAATTCGACAGCCAGGCAATTTTTCGCTTGAGCTGGAGCTAGTTATTGTGTGGGAACGTCTAATGGGGAATGGATAACAATCTCGTTCAAAAATTTCACTTTCCATAAACATTTCCTGAACACCGCAAACCGATCGATCACTGCGGCTAGATCGGTGATTACAGTTCCGTCAGCCCAGTCCCCCTGCCGCCGAGGGGTGCAGTTAACTGAAGCCGGGAACTGCCAAACGGGGTCACCGGTCGATGTTCATTGGCCGTATCGGACGGAGTCGTAGTCGCCGGCGACACGGCGGCACGGGACGGCGCTGAGCACCTCCGCAGTGGGAGGGGGTGCCGTGTCACCGATCCGTGCCACCGATCCGTGCCACCGATCCGTGCCACCGATCACCCTCCGGTCACGTCACCGTGTACACGGGTGACGGGCAGCGACGGCGTGCGTTCCGTGCGTCAGGAGTGCGCCTACGGAGGGCCCCATCGACCCAGGGCGGCTGCATTCCGTCAGGACAGGTGCACCGAACAGCACTGGTGGTCCCGTCTGTGGCGAAACGAAAACAGATAGCGCCGCGGATAGCGATACAGTGAAAATAACCTGCTATCGACCAGTCACTATAACTTATTTAAATATTCTGTTTGCCTTGATGGAACAAACGTTACATAACGCAACCATTTTCCAATGAAAGCGTTCAATGTTTTGGCGTAGTGCCGCAATTAATAATGTAGACTGTACGACTAGTGTGCCCGCCATTTTAAAGTAGGTATCGTTGTGTAACAGTCAGGCCGCCGAGCAGACCCGTGCACTTCCGACAGTTCAGGGAGCAGCGTTAGACGTTCCACCCAGCCTGGATCACTCACTGAGCGCCCTGTGGAAGGGGAGCAGTGTGTTTGCAGCTCGCCGGCCCAGCCCCGAGGCCTGGGTCACTCACTGAACGCGCTGAGGGGATCAGTGTGGTAGTGTGTTCGTGTATCTGGCCCCGGCTAGGTCACTCACTGAGGAAGGAGACGTCGGTGCCGACCGAGTAGGAGTTGGCAGCCGGAGAGCCGATCACGAACCTCTTCTGCAGCACCTCGGAGCTGTCCCCGGCGCCGCGCTCGCTGAGCTCGGCCGCGGCCGCCGCTCCGCCCTCTGCTGCCGGGGTGGCGGTGTTGGTGTCGGTCGCCGCACCTGCCCCCAGCAGCACCAGCAGCAGACAGACCGCTCTGAGCCGCCGCCGCGCGCCCATCCTGCTCTGGGCGACTCGGCTGGAGAGCTGCGGCAGCTCCGCCCGGTCCGAGCGGAGAAACACTGGGCGCGTCCACCCACCCACCCAGTCTAAGTACCGCCCGACGGGGTAAAAAGCGTCTCAGCGGAGTAAAAAGCCTCCCGACTGATCGCCGGCTGCCGGGCTGTGGTGTGAGGCTGCGGTGGCAGCTCGGCTCCTGGGCCAGCTCACCTACTTCGGCAGCGCGGCGGCGGCTGCAGCGGCGGCGTCATCTGGGCAGGGAGCCGGCCGCGGCGGAGTACGCGGCTCTCCACAGATACTCTGCGGGCTGGGGAGGCGGCAGCGTCAGCCACCGGCACAGCTGCACAGACGCACAGACACGGCTGAACGGCGGCGCTAACCAAATTAGGCTAGTGATGTCCGTCCACACGGGCATCTGTACTTCGAGCCCAATTTGGACATCAGCTGGTGGGGAAAACGTTGGTGCGTAAATGGATTGCTACAGCTTGACTTGTCTCATGCTCAGTTGCCTTTACTTTTTCATTCATTTACCTATTACCTACGTTTTTACCTTTTTGCCTTCTTTCTTTTACCCCTTTTACCCTTTACCTTTATCGTATACAGAAATACTCCTGTGATGAGATAGAAATTTAAAATGCTGTGACGGTATCTTTCAGTGTGTCATAGTTTTCTAGCAGTATTTCGGTCTGCTTTTCGTTGACTTATGCTAACTTTAACCATGCATTGGCTTTTCGGAAATGTGAATAATATGAAATTCATTCTTGAATAGTTTTTAGCACTTTTCTGAGAGCCGTTATATATAAAAATAGAAATAACCTTGCTCTCATGTTATATCAAGACACCTTTGAATAAAAAAATGCATCGAGAGCACGGCACAACGCCGAAAGCTTCTCGATACAAATTTGTTCTTATTTTTTATTCAAAAGTATCTTTTGATATAAAATGAGAGCAAGGTGGTTTCTATTTTTCAATATGAAATTTATCCGAAATGAGTTCAATAGACAGATCGAAATATACAGGCCAGGCTTAAAGTTACCCTGAACAGCTTATTTTCCTTTTCCGCGCTGTAATGCATATCGATCACAACCGTTTTGACGACTTGTTACGCATTGTCTGTCCACCTTGAATGACATTTCTCTACTTGCATGCATGCAGGTATATCTTTATTTTATACCGGCCATACCGGCGGGTCATGAAATTTTCAGGGTAGGAGTAAAATCGACAAACTCGAAGGTACTGCAAGTTTTGTCGCAATCGGCCGTTTTTTTCGTGGGTTATTTACGAAAAACGGGGGGGGGGGGGTGCGTCATTCGACTTCTACACAAGTGAGATGTTTCGGTGACAGACGGAGTTCTATACCTAAGGCAGATTCAGGCCTACTCAATTTGTTTTGTTTTTCTCAATAACAACGAATATCAATTAAACACGTTTATAGACTTGTTATGCATGTATTGCTGTTTACGAACCATGTTGCATGATCTTTTTGTAATAACACACACGTGAGTAAGTACATTTCATATATTCCAAATAATATCAGCAACAACCAACTGGCCTTGGGTCTAACGCTTATGTTGTAGTTACAGGTACTGTCGACAAAATAAACGTCATATTGCTCCCATTTTCAAAATCTCAGTCAAGCAGGCTTCTGCTCTTTCATCAATGCATTATGTCGCAAAAATCACAGTTTGAAGGTGAACGATTCAAATCATGCTGCTTACACACGACTCTTCATTTGCAAAGTGCTCCCCCACATTCTCTGAGCACTGGTATACTCCCGAGACCGCCCCACATCGCTCCCCGCAATATAAATAGTTGTACAAGGTGGAACGTGCCTTGCTGTCACGCCTTACGCGCGCAGCTTGGCCACGTAGGTGATCATGGTCTGGTAGGAGGCCTCGCAGGTGTGGAACAGCTCCTCGCACGAGTCGGCGCCGAAACGCTTGCCCATGAAGGCGGCGTAGTCGTAGGCGCCGCGCGGGGTCTTCATCTTCTCGATGCTGGGAGCCTGCGGGTCCCGGCTGCAAAAGAACGAAACCAGAGATGGTTAGGTGTCAGCGAAACAGCGTGTGGTGCCAAAAAAGTGAGTCTGGGGAGTCATGCATATAATGGTGGCATTCGTTTCAAACATTTTGCTGATCTATCATAACAGAATAGGTACGTTTGCGACTGCTCCAAATATTAGCGCCAATGTAACAACGTAACAAAATGACATAGCCTAAAATGAAATTAAACTTCAGTGCCGAGTCTTCAGCGGGCTTACCCGAAGATGTTGAGGATGAAGGTGTCGTCCTCGGTGAGGCCCTCGTCGGGCTTGGCCTCCAGCAGGCAGACCAGCTTCATGGCGCAGCCGAACGCGTCAGAGGCGGCCACCAGGTTGAAGACGGCGTCCTCCTTGAGGCCGTCCTCGACGGAGCGCTTTCCGCGCCGGGAGGCGGCCAGCGCGAGCACGCCGACCAGCCCGGCGCCGAGCACCAGGCCGCCGACGCCGGCCAGCGCGGCCGCGCCCGTGGCCGTGCCCACACCCACCGTGGAGGCCGTGCCGGCCGCCGCCGTCTCGAAGATGAAGATGGCCTCAGAGAAGGAGGCCAGGCCGACGGCCACCAGCGCCAGAGCGACGGTCAGCTTCATCTCTGTCGGAGGGGGCGGGGGGGGGGGGGGGGGGGTCGGGTCATTGGGATGAGCCGGGACCGGGAGAGCCCTCTTCGGCCACAAGCTGGCAGCATACAAGACTAAAGAAATCGTAGAATTATTCTATCCAAAAATATTAAGAAGGGAAAATAATTAAAACGGATTACGCAACAATGTTTGATTTATGAATGCTAGTCAATTGCTATTAAAATAGTTTTGTATTCTACGCATTTTCCAATGAAAAATGGGAAAAATGAAAAACACTTAGAGCTTCAATGATAGTATTGTAGTCAATCTTGTTTGCACCTAAATACTAACATCAATCTAGTTTGCACTTAAATACTAACAATCACCTTTTAGACGTGTTGAGACACAAACTTTTTGAGCCACTCTTTTGAGCTGCAAAGTCCCATCATCTCCCGGCAACACACATGTTAACCCGGAGCCGTTCACTGTCCGGGCCCAAACCACAGTGACTATCCGAGCGTTCCACATATAGACAACTGGGGCTCACCTGCGTGTGAAGTGGGATGCGGTTCCGACGAGACACGGGCTGCGTTTACACCATGGAGCCGGCCGGCTGGACTTTTATCACCGTTCACTCTGTCCAAGGCCCGCGGGCAGTGCCATGCGGCGCCCCTTCGCCGCCCCGGCCCGCGCCGCCCAAAAATCTAGGACACTTCTGACCCTCAAGGTCAGGGCGTGTCCTTCGAGAGCCACTTGGTGTTCCGCCGTGTAGCAATGGATGGAGCAATGAGCGCCGGGGCGCCGGAGAGGGCGCCGCCGGCCGTTCGACCAGTACAAGGAGCCTCCTTCCCGCGGCTCTGCGGCCGGCCAGGGTCGAACCGAGCTGCCCATCCGACACTGAATTGATTGTTGGCATACGCCGCGTTTGGAAGCGCGCGTTCAGCCGGAATATTAATTAGGCTGGACATGGCAGACAGATGACGAAGCACTTTTCCCATCCCCACTGCACTGTCACACGCATGCAAAAATGCGTCAAAAATTTAGTGTTGTTGCCATTTTAGATAATTTTTCGTTGCAGATGTATATACAACCGGGATTTCCGGGAAACTATATTTCCGGGATGCATATTTTCTTTGTCTCGTTTAAAAAAGATATCATTAGTGTCCGTAAATTTATAGCTAAGCGTGATATTCGGTCGGGGTATGTGTAAACACATAGACCCCCAATTGAATAATCGCCTGCCGCCCCGGGCGGTGCCACGGAGCACGGCACGAGGTCAGGCCGCCGCCTTCCCTGCTCTCCAAAGATGGAGCGCCATCGCCGCCGGCGGTCTGTCGGTATGCCGAAATACCGTGATTATCGGCCGCTATAGGCGCAGCGGCTGTTACGGTAACCACTTTGAACCCATCGTGTCCCCATTTACATAATAGCATAGTTTCGTGGCCTGAACGCTCCACCTGCAGGCGTCGTAAGCGTGCAGACCATCACAGAGATCTTAATTTGTTGAATACCTACTTCCGCAAATCGGACTGTGTACGTATGTACAACTGCATTGAAAAAAAAAAAAAATAAGAAGAATCAAGCAGCAGTGACCTCAGCTCGCCTTCGACTGTGCCGAGGGGGAGGGGGAGGTGGGCTTCCGCCAACTGCCAAAGGTTGGGAACTAGGTGGAGATCCAGGTTAGCGTGCTAGGCGACTAAGTTGTGCTCTGTTGGTGCTCTCTCAGCATGAGTGGCGATTTTTAGGCGGTAGGGCACTGATTGCTTAGACTACAATGACCCTAGTGGCTTGATAATCCCCAATTAGGTGTGGATAATCTGGGTAATACTGACGCATCCACTCATTGTGTTGTTCCAAAACGATTAAAATGACTTGCTCCGTGTCAAACACAGTGTTTTTATGACATTTCTGTCTCGAATAAAATTGAGTGAAATGATTAAAATATGTTTAGTTATCATAAGCTTCCCATCATTATTATTTTTTAGGTTTGCCCTTCCATTGCCTTTTACTTCAATCTCCGACCATGCAATGCCACCGGTCAGCTGCCGCTCCCACCCAGTCCGATATCAGGTGACAGCTCTGTGTAAATCCACTCGTGGGACCTCGGCTGCTGCGGAGACTCCAATCGGCGCCCGCTGACGGTCCATGAGCAAATGTTTGTCGTCTTCCTCTAGAAGAAAGGTTGACTGGGCGACAGAAGAACTGGCGATCGATGCTCTCAACAGAATGCGGCTGATGAAATTCGGTAGGTGATCATAATAAGCTATTTGTGCCGAATAACACTTTTTATTGTAAAGCAGCGTTCCATGGGTGGTTCAATGGCAAGGAATCGAGCGAATAAGGTCTTGAAGTCTGATAAATGACGAGGGTTATGAATGGCAATCAGGTGCGTTCGAATATATTGCGCGCCTGCCACTGGCCATGACTTTATTGAACCCCGACGTCATCCACATCCATCAATAGGCGTCGACAAACTACATACCTGGTGGTCAAAAGTGCAGGTCACGTGAACTGTCTATGAATATTGAAGGGGCTCATAACTCGTGGAGTCCGGCCCATGCGGCTGCTCAATGGCGGTGCAGTCCTTGGACTCGGTACAGGATGACTGGGCACCTCACCTTCCCTCTGGTCGACAGGGGCGGCGGCCGCGGTCCTCAGTCGCCGTTCAGTCATCTTTGGGTGTCGCACTGATGTTAGCGCTGCCTTCGAGCGCCGGTCCGACGCGGGAGGTCGACATATGTCCGTGGGTGATTACTGCGTCGAAACTGCGTGGACTGATAGCGGCTGTGAGGATGCAAATTGAAAACTCAAGGCCTGGTGATGGATGGGAGATCAGTCCCTTCAGCACATGCGTGGCGGAAATGGAGCCTTCCGTCCTGCCGTAATCGCAAAACAAAAGATAAATAAGCAAAACATGTTTTCTCAAGTAACGGGCTCTCCATTATTCAACCAGTGTTGATTTTGGACAGGATGTGCTGTATGAGTTTAAATTGTTATCAGCAGGCCTAAGCAACATTTATCACCCACTCACCATCAAGTCAAAAGAGTTATAAAAGGCTCGGTATTCAGAGACCGATAATGATTGAACTAATTATATTCGCTGTCTGGACCTCCAAAATCTAAATCTTCAGCGGCCGAAGAGCGACTCGGTCATCAGCGCGGCGCCGTGGGCCGGTCTGGTAACACAGCCCGCGGCTCTGCGGCACATCTGTGGCAGTTGCGCCACTCCACGCCGCGCCGTCTGTCCGTGGTTATATGACGTGGCGTCACCCTGATGGGCGCGATCGGACGGATGTGGAGAAATGGTTCCAGGAATGTGGATCACTGGCCGCCCGTCACAGACACCGAGACACGCCCGGGTGGGATGGGGAGGCTCTCATATCTCATGGCTCTCCAGTGGACCACTGGCCGCCCGTCACAGACACCGAGACACGCCGGGCTGGGATTAGTGGTGTCAATCAGAACTTGAATCTTCGGAATTCCGATTTTGTCCAATGTCCAATTCGGAATTCGGTTGGACAATGGCAGCAGGCTTTGGACAACTTTGGACAATCGCTTGCTACACCTCAACATTTTTAAAAAGTAATCGTGTTTAACATTGATTGGCTATTAGAAAGCTCAGCTTTCAATATGATTAGCACTTTTGAGCTGGTAACGGTACATGAAAAGCAAATCAAATACCTAACAGTATTGAGTGTAAACTATTGCGTAGGCGTCGGACATCTTTGGACAAATGGCTGGCTTGGACATTTTTGGACGGACAGTCGACGTAAGCATTGGACATTGGACGGACTTTGGACATACGTTTTCTGAAATTGACACCACTAGCTGCGATGGGGAGGCTCTCATATCTGATACCCGTCCGGTGGGATGGGATGGCTCTCTTGGTGTATTCAATATTTCAGTTGGGATCATTCGAAGCTCAGTGACTTCCGAATTTCACATTGCCTATCGCCGATGCACTTTTATAATAAGTGCGACAGGGACGGCTAAGGAGCCACTTTTTCGAAATTGGCAAATTTACCTCATCTGAACAGTCCAAATTGTTTTCTGAATGTTTACTGAAAGGGCCATTTACATCGAATGTAAATGTATATGTTACAGGGAGTATGCGATTTCAGTTAGTTTGCAACGACCCTAGGGTGGTTGTAACCTCCCTGAAGGATCAGTTTGTTTGCAACGACCCTAGGGACGTTACAAAATAACTGCTCGTTCCGGGACGTTGTAACGAAACTAGGGTCGTTGCAACCTCCCTAGTTAGTATGCAACGAACCAAGGGTTGTTTCAAAATAACTAGGGAGTTTAAGAATTCATCGAGTCTCGTTTCACAGGAGGGCCGTCAACAATCTTGACCAATGAAAATCTTGTTCAATCTACATAGTTCAGTTTAAAAGAAAAGGAGGACAAAATTTGAACATTCAGCCAAGGAGTATAATATGTGGTGCCCGGGACAAAGCACGTAACTGTGATAATTTTGGCTGCATTATATCGCCAGCATATGCTTACATGTAGAAAATATAGTTACTGGGGTAGGTGTGATGGATATCCGTCACTATCCGTGTGCGGGTTATCCCTCACACTTTTAGGGGTGTGGGTCGGATAAAACCCCTCGTTTTATTTCGCGATTATCTCGCGCTAAAAGCGGCCGATCGTGACGAAACTTTGAGTGTCCTCGAACTTATCTACGAGTTCATGATCCTGAAACCAATGGCCTTTGATCTTTGATCTGATTTCTGAGACCATGGCAGACCGAAATGATTTGCCATTTATGTTAGCGCACATAAAATTGCGTTTCCAGACTTCTATTGTGATTACATATAAACGTGCCAACATGTGAACTGATGGTTGTCCCATGCATCATGATGTGTTTCAAGTTGAATTGTCAGTTGTCGGCCAGGTCAAGGTCATTGACGTTTGGTGACTTCGGGTGACTATTTCAAATTTTACGATTTTAAGGGATTTTTTTTTAGCTTATTTTGAATCCAGCATTCGTTGAGACATTTGAGAAGTACGTAGGTGTAGTTGTAACGCCAATACAACTTGCTACAAAGCTGTCGCTGGTGGTTTAGGTACAACTGCTATAAACAGGTGGTGCGGGTGGGACGCCTACTACGAGTACTTGACCCAAACTTACCCAACCCAGCCTGGCTTTATCCTCGCCCCCCCCCCCAAGTTTTTTTTCGCGATAGCTCCGAACACGCCAGCAACAGAGAGCTGAAACTACGCATACCTGACCTTTGATTCAAGCCGGATCTCGTGATATCAACCAGATTTTCAGGTCAGGTCAGGTTACTGACCTATGACGTCATAAGTGGACGGTCCTCAGATCCGCAACTTCGCAACGCCCTCAGTCCCATGAGGAGTTTTTACAGGGTGATGAAGCTTACAGTACGTGCATCTTCTAGAAGTCTCACAACTTGTACCTCTAGGATTTTTCCTAAAAATCACATGAGGTCAGGTCGGTCACGTGACCTCACCACTAAAAGTCCATTGAGAAAAATGAAAACTGCTATTCTGGCGCCGGGAACGATCTCAAACTATCTCAAGCACACGGATCGTGATTTAATGCACTCCTTGCAAGGTTAGATGCTTCAATTTTGCATTGTTGACGTTCCATGACGTCATTTATGACGTCACTAGGGTCATACGAGCTTTTCGTCAATAACTCCCGATCAAACTGAGCTAGCGAGACGGTTAAGCCACCGATGGACACAGGAAGACCTGCCGAATCGAATAATATGCAACATGACCTCCTTTGACCAATTTCGCGACCTAGGGGTCTTTGACCTGACCTTGACCCGAGGTCAACGCCTCAAGTTGACCTCACCCGAACAAAAAGTATACCATTCGATGTGCGTAAGCAAGGCGAGCACGTTGATGCTCAAATCGCGCTCAGCGACTGTTTTTTTTAAAGAAGTTATTAATCAAAAACCGAACCCGTGTCTTGGGTCACCTGACCTGACCTCAGAGGTCACCGGTTGACCTGAGATCTTAAACTCGGGTACTTGTTGCTGTGTCTCCTAACGGCACACACGCTCGTTTTTTCCGCGACGCTTTAACTCCATCAGGGGTTAAAAACGACGAGAGGGTCGTACCAACCCTCCCCTCGGCCGGCGCGTATGTAGAAAACCAACAGGTCCTGCGGTGTTAACTCTCGCCCTTATTGGTGTTTTGCTAGCCGCAAACGCACAGGGCGGGGATAGGTTATGGGTTGACCTTCCAGGTCAGGTCAGTGACTAAAAAGTCGGGAAAATCGGGACCTGTTAAAACTTTGGAGAGTTAGGTTGTTACGAGTTTTTTTTTTTCGGGGCGCTGATCACGAATTTCATATTAGCTTTGATCACCGATGATGTCTAGATATTTTTAGGCCAGGTCGGGTCAGGTCAGGTCAGGTCAGGTCAACCAGTAGGCGTCTTGCTAGTTGTCCATAGTAGGTGTCAACCATCACTGGCAGCTTCGTGACATGGTACGAAGGCGCCAAAATTACTTCGTTAATGTTCAAATGGGTGCTAAATTCAAAATCAGCTCCAAAAACTAGCCTAAAAATATATGAACCCAGAAAAAGTTAGCTAAGGTCATCAAAGGTCAATGACATTGACCTGACCTTCACGTGACCTTGACACCCACCATAATGCATGGGACCACCATCATTTCACATGTTTGAACGTTAATAACAAAAAGTCTGGAAAGGAGCGGATAATGACCGTTTTTACGAAGGGCTTCCTGGCAAATGTCCATCTAATTTGCACAAAACTGCACCAAATGTGCACCTAATCTGCACAAAATCTGCACTAGATGGCCATCGTGAAATACTCCTGAGCTGAATGTTCAAATTTTGTTCTCCTTTTTCTTTTAAACTGAACTAGATTAGATTGAACAAGATTTTCATTGGTCAAGATTGTTGACGGCCCTCCTGTGAAACGAGACTCGATGAATTCTTAAACTTCCTAGTTATTTTGTAACAACCCTAGGTTCGTTGCATACTAACTAGGGAGGTTGCAACGACCCTAGTTTCGTTACAACGTCCCGGAACGAGCAGTTATTTTGTAACGTCCCTAGGGTCGTTGCAAACAAACTGATCGTTCAGGGAGGTTACAACCACCCTAGGGTCGTTGCAAACTAACTGAAATCGCATACTCCCTGTAACATATATAATAGTCTCCAAAGAAGTTTGTATCTTCGAAACTGGCTCATGAGCATGGTTTCGAGGTTTGGCGTTTTTAAACCTGATTTTTTTTTTCTCGTTATGATGATCTGTTTCATCGTTGACCAAGATCATTTACCATCAGCATGATACCTAAAAAGTAACCTCCATCATTTCTCACCATCTCGGCGTGAGCCGCGAGCGCGTTTGTCCCCCATGACTAACCAACAAAGCGGGGAAGGTCAGCGCCGCCCGGAAGACGCCGACGACGGGCCGCGGGCTGCATCTGGCTGCGTAGTGCCGTATATAAGGACGGGACAGAGCCAGGGGAGTAAACAGCCTCCCGTCTCCGCAGCCAGCACCTCACTTCTCTCTCACAGGTGGGTGCTGAAAACGTGCCGACAGCAATGCTCTCTTATGTTGGATTTTATATCTTTTTATCAAGTTCATTATCAGCCGTCTTTATTATGTTTCTTTTGTATTAATGCCAGCATACCAAATATTCGAAGCTGTAGGACATATGTAACACAGATAAAAAAATCAAACACAGTAAGAAATGCTATTTAAACGAGCTGAGTTTGTTATCCCGCGCCCCGCTGGGCTATTCAGCCATACGCGCCCTGCTGGGGGGGGGGGGGGCATTCTGCCCCCCTGTCTAACTTCCGAACCGATGGTCGTAGAAAGACGGGGAAAACGGCAATCGAAAGCTCTCAACAAGGCGGATCTTAAGAGCCCAGATTTTTTTGCTTAAGTAGGTCAGAGGTCAGGTCAAGGTCAGGTCAAGGGTACAAGATGCAAGTTTCTACAGTATCGGCCTTGCACCGTAGTTGCCGAAGAATGGACTGAGACTGATTGCCCAAAACGTGTTCTTAGACTACCAAGACAATATTCGTTGCATACAATGTCATTCAAAGGTCAAGGTCAAGGTCAGTTCAGGTCAGGTCAGGTCACCAAAAACAAAATATAGAAAAGGGCATGTGCGACACATGTTTTATGGGTCATTTTACTCATAGAATTCAATAGACGCACTCAATAAGTGATATGGACCACCTCTGGATGAATTTCAGGTCGAGGTCAGGTCAAGGTCAGGTCAAGTGAGGTCAAATTTTGAAGTTGGTTGTTAAGGCCTAAAATGGTGTCTATCTGATGCAGTTTTTCACGGCAAATCGAATGGTGCTATTTTTGATTCCGTACGAGGTCTAGAACTTCCAAAAAAATCATTTTTCAAAATTTTTGTCTGTCGTGACGTCATAAAACTTTGAATAACTTCCACATTTTTGAACCGATTCTTCTAAAAATTGGTATGTAGGTGCACATAGACAACTTCTTTGACATATATTCCGGTTTTTTCGATATACTCAAAAATTTGGATTTTATAAATATTTTCCCAAAAAATCAGTTTTTTGAAAAAAATTGGGCCAAAATCCAAAATTTTCAAAAAACCGAGATAGCCATTTCATAGACAAAGTAGAATCACGTATAACCTTTTTTGTTACGTCTTGATTCCTTTAAAAATGAAGATGTTAGCGGCGTTTGAAATTTTGCCATTTTTGAGGCGAAAATGGCGAACATGACGTCACTAAAACGTCAATTTCTCAAAAATTTTCCGACGGATTTCGCTCAAATTTTCAGGGAACGTGTCAAATTGATGTATGATAAGGTACTGAAAGTTTGACGTCGCTGGCGTAACGCGTTTAGAGGTTATTGGCGAAAAACGGGAGGGGGGCAGATTCTGCCCCCCCCCCAGCGGGGCGCGGGTTATGTAGATAAAATCATGATATCAAGTCTGTTGAATTTGTGAAGCGTTACGGTGAAACTAAATCACGTCTTTCTGTCCCCTACAGCCAGGATGCACTTCTCTCGCGTCGCCGTGGCCCTGACGGCCCTGCTGCTCACCGTGGACGCCACCTTCATCATCGGCACGGCCGGCACGGTCGGCGTCGGCGCCGCCACCGCCGGCGTCGCGCTGGCCGGCGTGGCCGGTCTGGCGCTGGGCGCCGCGCTGGTCGGCGGACTGGCGCTCAGCCGGCGCCGCGGCAAGCGCGACGTGGCCGTGCAGCAGCAGACCGACATGGTGCTCGACATGGTGGCCGCCGCCGACGCCTACGGCTGCGCGCTCAAGCTGGTCTGCCTGGTGGAGTCCAAGCCGGAGGACCAGCTGAGCGCCGAGGACGAGCTGATCCTGCAGCTGTTCGGAAAGGCGCCGGCCGCCGTCGCCGAGGAGCAGGTCAACACGCCGCGCAAGGCCTACTTCTACGCCGCCTACCTGGGCGACTCGCAGGGCAAGGACGCCTGCCAGAAGGTGTTCCACTCCTGCGAGGCCAGCTACGGCCAGATGATGGCCTACGTCAGCGCCCTCACCAACTAGGTCTCCCCCCGAGCCGTCAGTATGACGTGCGTCACACACATCTCGCCTCATCTAGAGCTGCTAGTCAGGCTCATCGTTGTCCACATCATCACTGGAGGGGTCGGGGGCTGAGGCCTGGCCGCTGCAGGGCCGGGCAGTCGGCGCGGCAGAGGCGGCCAGGCGCGGTGTGCGCTCCAGCACGCGTCTGAAGTCAGCTTGGCCTGTTCTATTGTCCTGTTTTCCTAGCGTGCGCACGCGGCGAATGTGCCCTTTGGCAAAATTCGCTGCGTGGCATCGTCTTGTCTCTCTTTGAGACGACGAGCGCTGTGAGGCTTGGAGAGCTGTATTGTCTTCCGTATCGACTGGGTTTTCGGCCTCGCCCCACGGGTAGGCTGTAAACAGCTGTTGTTTTACCTTGAGTCATTTATGAGAACCTATGTTTTATTGGTGTTTGCACTTGAGCAATGTTATGTGTCTTGCCTCTCGGCAAAGATATCAAAGTGTGTGTCTGTTCGAAATGAAATACATTGTGAAATGTAAGTTGATGTTGATATGACCCAATCATGTTTCATTGAATAATCTTAGCAACAAGCTTCCCAATGTGCCCAATGAATAGCAAGGAAAAGTTACCAAATTTCGAGCCTTTACTTAGGTATTTTTTCGTTGAGAGCAAAAAAGTACAGGTAGGGTTCGATTCGCCCCCCCCCCCCACACACCAGTAATAGGGTTAACCCACGAGCCGCTACGGGGCAGTAAACCGCGCCCTGATGGGCTCTGCCGAGCAATGCGGTCTGATGGGGGCGGGGGCACTTTGCCCCCCCCCCTAAGATCTCGAGAACCACGCAACATAGCGACAAGCGGCAAACGGTGTTGGATAGCCCCAACGGATGTGACTCAGTTTCATTGACCTTGGTCTAACCGATGACGTCACAGGTCAGGTCATATGTCGAATTTTCACCGTTTACAGGCGTTTCAAGAAATGCGTTGTAAAATCGAGTTAAATGCATGCCATTGAAAATAATCGATGGGAAATTGTCCATAAAATAAATATTTTGCTATTTGAGGTCACTATAACACCTGGTCAGGTCACAGAGGTCAGGTCACTGAGGGTCAAAATATGAAAATATCACGTGATGCTTGTTTTATGGTCCATTTTGCATGACAAATGCGATTATGTGGGTCAGACAGCATTTGGGGCCAGCATAGGTTATGTTCTGGTGAAGGTCAGGTCAAATAAGGTCATGTTTCAAACTTGATATTTTTGCATAAACTGGATATCGATTCGATGCAGCTCGTCACAGGGAGTCTAATGGTGTTCTTTTTTTTCGCTACATGATCTAGAATTGCTAAAAATTGAGTTCAAAAATTTGACGTCATCAATTTTGACCAGTTTTTTTTTTTTCGCTATGACTTGGCCATACAACGAGGTGTTGATCTAAAATTTGTGATGTAGATAAAAGAGGGTATCATATATTTTCTGATTTTTCGAAATTCGAAAAACGTTTGGGATATTTTCAGCTTTTTTAATAAAAAAGTTTTGATTTTTTTTGGTCAAAATCACAAAATATTGAAAATCCGAGATAGCAGTTTTGTAGCTCCGTCTTTTGTTGAAACGACCATGTAAAGAACTTTGAAATTGCTTGTTAACTGTATCTTTTGTCAGCGTTTCAAGATTTCATGTTTTTTGTTCATTTTTGCTCGAACATGACCTCAGTTTTACCTAAATAACTCCTGACCTAAGATGACCTATGATTGGAAATTTTGTATAAGGGTGTCAAACTGATGTTGTAAAAGGTACTGAAAATTTGGCGGCGCTGCGCGTCGCCGTTTTTCGCTATTCAAGAAAAACCACAGGGGGCCAAAATGCCCCCTCCCATCAGGGCGTGGGTTGGGCTGCCCTCCCCTTTTAATTTTGTCAGCTTGTCAAAATCTGATAAGATGTAGACTTGTTGCTTTTGATAGCTTCCGATAAATACTTAACCCTCGCATGGGTAGGGGCCATGGGGGGGGGGGGGGGTCGGATGGACCCCCCATGGTTTTTCGTAAATAACTCGCGCAAAAAGCGGCCGATCGCGACGAAACTTTCAATACCCTCCAGTTGATCAATTTTACACCTACCTGATAATTTCATGACCCTGACCCAAGTGACCTAGGTATGACCTGTGACCTATTTCTCGAGGCCATGTTTGGCCGGAATCGCGATTCGGCGTGTGTCGGCTCGCATTAGCCGCGCGTTTGCAAGCTTCTCGTGGTTTCAAGCGTTCAAACATGTGATTTGATGTTGCTCCCATGCATTTGGGTGGATGTCAAGGTCACCTGAAGGTCAGGTCAAGTCATTGACCTTTGGTGACCTCGGTTCACTTTTCCGAGCTTTACATGTTTCTAGGCTAGTTTGTGGAGCTGAATTCGAATTTAGAGACTATTTGAACATTTACGAAGTAGTTTCGTGCCTTCGTAACATGTTACGAAGCTGTCAGAGGCGGTTGACACGTACTACGAATAGGTACCCGTCACGCCCCCTACCGGTTGACCTGACCTGACCTGACCCGACCTGGTCTAAATGCTTACAGACATCATCTGTGATCAAAACTAACACGATATTCGTGATCAGCACCTCGAAAACCCCTTGGCGACCACACTTTACGAATTTCTAGCAGGTCCCGATTTTCCCGACTTTTGGGTCATTGACCTGACCTGGAAGGTCAACCAATGACCTAGGACCTTAAAATAAGGTATCATCGGCTTCCTCTCGTCACGGGCAACACGCTCGTTTTTTTGCGAAGCTCTAGCTTGATCAGGAGCCAAACGGCAAGGGGGGGGGGCTCCAACCGACCCCCCCTACACATTAGAAGCTGGCAAACGCCGCACACATGCGAGGGTAAACCATGTTTGAGGAAAGTTTGGTGGTTGCAGCACTTACGATGGCGTCACAGTGACGTCATAAATTTATGTCGCTTTCCGATATGGAGCGTTCCTGATGCTTGTGAATCTGAGCATAAAATGCAACGGTAAATGAACTTGAAAGCATACCATTGAAGCATATATGGTGTGTAAATCAGTTGCAGGAGAATCACATTTCGCTCAATTGCCCCACCAATTGCGGATAACAAAAAATGCCAGGCTGTAATTACAACTCTGTCATCACTTTTACGTCCATTTAAATAGGATCGTTAACAAATTCTGAAGCAAATGTACATATCTACCTATTCAAGAATATGCGTGCAAAGTTTCGCTTTTCTATCTCCCCGAATTACCACGGTATCATTGAAGAAGAGAGGGGGGTGGCAACATAATGGCCCCCAGCGGATGCCGGTGGCATGGGGGCCCAGCGGCCGCCGGGCTAGCTTTCTACAAAAAGTTTATGTTCATAGTCATGCAAAAGTGTTAGTTGATGACTGTTTAACAAGAAAACCACATCATGTTTTGTACTTTGTATTTTAGAACTCAAGTAAAACTTGGGTCTTTCTGCTTGACAATACAGCACAAAACACGGTCCATCTGCATCTCAACATATACGATGTGCACAATGATAAATGACTCAAGGTAAAACAACAGCTGTTTGCAGCCTGCCCGTGGGGCGAGGCCGAAAACCCAGTCGATACGGAAGACAATACAGCTCTCCAAGCCTCACAGCGCTCGTCGTCTCAAAGAGAGACAAGACGATGCCACGCGGCGAATTTTGCCAAAGGGCACATTCGCCGCGTGCGCACGCTAGGAAAACAGGACAATAGAACAGGCCAAGCTGACTTCAGACGCGTGCTGGAGCGCACACCGCGCCTGGCCGCCTCTGCCGCGCCGACTGCCCGGCCCTGCAGCGGCCAGGCCTCAGCCCCCGACCCCTCCAGTGATGATGTGGACAACGATGAGCCTGACTAGCAGCTCTAGATGAGGCGAGATGTGTGTGACGCAAGTCATACTGACGGCTCGGGGGGAGACCTAGTTGGTGAGGGCGCTGACGTAGGCCATCATCTGGCCGTAGCTGGCCTCGCAGGAGTGGAACACCTTCTGGCAGGCGTCCTTGCCCTGCGAGTCGCCCAGGTAGGCGGCGTAGAAGTAGGCCTTGCGCGGCGTGTTGACCTGCTCCTCGGCGACGGCGGCCGGCGCCTTTCCGAACAGCTGCAGGATCAGCTCGTCCTCGGCGCTCAGCTGGTCCTCCGGCTTGGACTCCACCAGGCAGACCAGCTTGAGCGCGCAGCCGTAGGCGTCGGCGGCGGCCACCATGTCGAGCACCATGTCGGTCTGCTGCTGCGCGGCCACGTCGCGCTTGCCGCGGCGCCGGCTGAGCGCCAGGCCGCCGACCAGCGCGGCGCCCAGCGCCAGACCGGCCACGCCGGCCAGCGCGACGCCGGCGCTGGCGGCGCCGACGCCGACCGTGCCGGCGGTGCCGATGATGAAGGTGGCGTCCACGGTGAGCAGCAGGGCCGTCAGGGCCACGGCGACGCGAGAGAAGTGCATCCTGGCTGTTGGCAGCAGTAAAAAATGGAACGCTTTCAAACTATTGCGACCAAAAAAGCAGAGAAAGTTATCAAAAGAAACATTGATTAAATTGCGTGATAAAATAAATATTTCGAAATAAGAAATAATTTTGAGAAGTTATTTACGTAATGTGATGCATCAAAAGGAGGAGTTAATCGTTTCATAACTGCGTGGCGGCCATTCTTCTCCATGCTCACCTGAGAGAGGGTGTGGTGACGGCGAGGAGACTGGAGACTGTATGTCCTCGCCGCCGGCCGCCGACTTTATATAGCGCGCGCCACACGGGCGGAGGGGCACGGGCGCCGATTGGCTCCGCTGAAGGTCCTTCCCCAGGCTAGCATTGTCCGGAAGGTGGAGGGAGGGGTCAGCCAGCCCGACAGACGTCCGCGCTCATGGGACGCATTCTGAACACTTGGACAACCAGCCTGAGTAGGCACTTTTTGCTGCTGTAGCTGCAATGAACAAGGCCAAGTCCTTTATAACTATTGATAATATGTACAATATATAATATTTACCTTTATGAGAATCAATATCATATTTAGAAAAAGGTAATGCGATGAAAACATATCCGCGATAGGTGCTAGCTGGCATCTGCGAAATGTTTTTCAGCTCCAGTCACTTAGGTCGGAGCGAGTGGTCTCCCTACAGCGCATATTGCAGGATGTATTTCATCCGACTTCATTTTTTGGCTAATTAAACTACGTTTAGCGAATTTTGTAAGCTCGCGTAATGAAAGACTTTCGGATGAAAAATAATTATGTGCTTACGATTTGATTTTGGCATCCTGAAAAAATGTAGTTCCATTTGCAGAAACAGTGCTCGGAACGAGCTGTTAATATGATTCACTACTCTTAATAATTGTATATCCTCTTGGTTTATCAAATGTCGCCGCTTTATGAGTGGCCGATGCTGACTTTATCAAACGCCGTGGAGTCCGACCGTCACCTCTATCAGGCTCGTACCGGGTAGACCTAGAGGGTAGACTGTGTCCCTCTCCGGCCTGGCCCTGGAGGATAAACTGTGCCCCGTCCTAGCTGGACCTGTCTGGCAGGGAGGGGAGACTGTCTCCCTCTGGGCCGTGCAGTGTAGACTGCGCCCCACCCTGGCTCGGACCCGACGGGCCTGCAGGGTAGGCTGTGCCGCACGGCATCGGCCCGGCTCGCCCGGCTAACTGAATACCTACTGTGTGTAGGCGTAAATGCCTGGCCATGTAGCATGAAAATAAACCAGCCGACTGATATCTTCGATGTAGGATTCAGTGCTTCGGCTTGTTGATAGTGATACTATACATACTTGCCTGTACAACTTTACATGCATTGTGTAGAAATTTGTGTACTTTATATGAAATCATGCTTTTTTACATTTTTTTTTACAAATGACACATTAAAAGCAAAAAACATCTTTTTGTCGGACAGTTCGCATGCTGTTCAGGGTCTAGCGGTATCTGAGAGATCAGAAATGACTTTGAATCCGACATCGAACCCGCACAGCTCGCTCTATGTATACCTACCTGCTGGTAACCGGTGTCCACTTACGGCCAGTGAGCTGTTGTCTTGATGCAAAGCTCATGATCTGTGACTTTCTCTGGTCTTGTGCGTACCCCATTCTATTGAAATTGTCTGATGTTCTGTTTGACATATCCCTCGCCGGCCGAGGGGGGGGGGGCGGGTGCCGCCCCCCCATAGGGTTTTTTTCGCGATAGCTCCGAACACGCTGGCGATAGAGAGCTGAAACTTGGCATATCTGACCTTTGATCCAAGCCGGATCTTTTGACACCAACCGCATTTTTGGGTCAGGTCAGGTCACTGACCTGTGACGTCATAAGTGAACCTCTGCACGGTCTTCAGATGTCGCAACTTCGCAACGCCCTCACTGCCAGAGGAGATGTCACAGGGAAATGAAACTTGCAGGATCTAGTATCCATTATGAGTCCCACAACTTGTATATCTCGGATTTTTCCTAAAGGTCATATGAGGTCAGGTCATTTTCGTGACCTCACCATTATAAGTCAATGGGGAAAAATTCAAACTGCTATTCTGGCGCCGGGAACGATCTCCAACTATCTCAAGCACACAGAATCGTGATTTGATGCACTCCTTGCAAGGTTAGATGCGTCACTGTTGCAATGTTGACCTTGCGTGACGTCATTTATGACGTCATCAAGGTCAAATTAGTTTTTCGTCAATAACTCTTGATCAAATTGAGCTAGCGAGTCGGGAAAGGCACCAATGGACTCAAGAAGGCCTGCCGAATCGAATGATATGCGACATGACCTCTTTCGACCAACTTCGTGACCTGGGGGTGCTGACCTGACCTTGACCTGAGGTCAACACCCCAAGTTGACCTGACCCGGACAAAAAGTATATCATTCGACGCGCCTGAGCGAGGCGAACACGATGCTGCCAAAATCGGCGCTCTGCGGCCGTTTTTTGCGAAGTTATTCACCAAAAACTGAACCGTACCCTGAGGCACTTGACCTGACCTCAGAGGTCACCGGATGACCTAGGACCTTAAAATCGGGTACCAATCTCTGCGTCTCGTAACGGCGCACACGCTCGTTTTTTCCGCGACGCGCTAGCTCCACCAGGGGCGAAACGGCGAGGGGGGTCGTACCCGCCCCCCCCTCGGCCGGCGCGTATGTAGAAAACCAATAGGTCCGGCGAGGGATATTCCATCAATGATAGGTAAGTACTAGTAACGCTCACAGTGAAAAAGTCTTGCAGACAAACTGATAAGTGATAACCATTTCTTGCAAATATTCAACATAACATAGCAAAATAATTTTAAATCTTTTGATATTTTGAAGGCATTGGGGCCCCCGTGAAATATTAGATGAATCACATCGCAGGAGACTCGGCTGAAAACCTCCGGGAACAGATCGATACAAAAGAAGCTTGTGAAGGAGGCGGATGACGCTGGGGGGCCCGGCGTCTCTGACCTCCCGAGTGGCGCCTCTGATCGGGGCTGCGACCGGCGCCTCGCCGAGGTCGGGCCGCGCCGCGGGCGTCGTCCGGTTCCGCTCGCCGCCGGCGCCACGGCTCACAGCTGTGCGTGGCGGCCGGCCCGCGAAGCTGGGCGGCTTCCGCGTGTCCTGCGCCGCCGGGGACCGTGGGCGGCGGGGGACGAGACCGCTGCGGTCGCCGCCGCCTCCGCGCGAGGTCACGGTCACCCTGCAGGCTCCAGCGGCCAGCGGCTGTTTGTAGACAAACACCGGACACGGGCTGGTTTGTGGTGACGCTCGATACGACCAAGATACACCCAATGACCCTGTGTATCGTATCGCTGGCCGCTCCACGCGGGCGCCGCCCTCCATCCGGCGCCAGTCACCCCGAAACACCTTCCGATCGCCGGCGGAACAGCCGCTTCCGCGCCGGTGTGTCCTGCAGCAGCGCGAGCGCGTGTGACCTCGCCGGGTCCTGGGTCCGACCGACCACCCAGCCAATCTCAGGGCCCTGACCTCCGGCTGATGGCCCCTCTGGGAGCCCCGCGGCGGCCCGCAGTGATTTAGCCCGGTCTGGGTCTGTGACGCCGGGAGGATCACGATGACTTGCTTCTCTGACCGGCGTCGGGCCATGAGTGGCGGGCGGCCTGACCCAGAAACTGCCGCGTCCCGCCGCCGCTGCCGCCGGCCGTCATCAATTGGCCAGGCAAGGCCGGTCCCTGCCGGAGGCACTGGCCGGCGTCTGGCGTGCCGGGACCGGAGGCGGTCCTAACCTTTTGGCAGAGGTGTGACACTGAGACTTTGTTCTGGACGAGTTAACACGGTGAAAAAATTTCTATACCACTGAATCAAAAAGAGAAGTGTATGACTATAAGCTAGACGCTTTTAGCGCACAGACAGAAGGACATCCTCTAAACGCGTGGAGAGGGCAGCTCGTCCTGTGTCTAGCGAATCTCTGTGTTGTCTGCCCGCGAACCCTCGACGGCGTCTGAAAGTCATCCGAAAATTGGAGGATGATTGTGTCACTTCTTTTACTTATGACACCTGCTTAGGCTGGAAATTTATAAATAAATGGCTTAGGCCTGTCAGGTCTTACTCATCACATGGAAGAATACAGCTTTCCGTTTGTGACTCATGTTTTATTGACGATAAATTCCCTGATTTTTTTTCGAGTGGCGTGACATATATTGGAATAAAACTACGTAACGTGACATTATAAAATGTCGTTATTTCTGGTCTTTCGATAATAAAGGTGATATCGCATAAATATCGGAGGGAGCAGATTCTTCCCCGTAGCAGTGTACCGGCTAGCTTAGCATATCCCGCGCCCTGATGGGGGGGGGGCATTTTGGCCCCCCCTGTGGTTTTTCTTAAATAGCGAGACAACGGCGGCGCGCAGCGCCGCCAAATTTTGGTTACCTTACCGCACATCAATTTGACACCTTCACACAAAATTTCAAGTCACAGGTCACCTCAGGTCAGGAGTTATTGAGGTCAAACTGAGGTCATGTTCGAGTAAAAAAGAGCAAAAAACATGACATCTTGAAACGCTCACCAATTCTACAGTTGACAAGCAATTTTAAAGTTCTGTATGTGGTTGTGTAGAGAAAAGACGGCGCTACAAAACTGCTATCTCGGATTTTCCAAAATTTGGGATTTTGACCCCCCCAAAAAAAATGATTTTTTTAGAAAAACTCAAAAAAATTCCAAAATTTTTTCGAATTTCGAAAAAACCGGAATATATGTGATAGTCCCTGCGCTCTTCGATATACATACCAAATTTTAGATCGATACCTCTTTTTTTGGCCAAGTTATAGCGAAAAAACTGTTAAAAATTGATGACGTCAAATTTTTGAACTCAATTTTTTAGCAATTCTAGACCTCGTAGCACAAAACGGAGACCACCATTGAACTCCCCGTGACGAGCTGCATCGAATCGATGCCCATTTTATGCAAAAATATCAACTTTGAAATTTGACCTAATTTGACCTGACCTTGACCTGACCTTGACCTGACCTTGACCTGACCTTGACCTGACCTTGACCTGACCTTGACCAAAACGTGACCTAAGCTGGCCCTAAAGTCTGTCTGACCCACATAATCGCATTTGTCATGTAAAATGGACCATAAAACATGTATCACACGACACTTTCATATTGTGACCCCCCAGTGACCTGACCTCTGTGACCTGACCTGGTATCAGTGACCTCAAATAGCAAAATATGTGTTTGAAGAACATTTCCCCATCTATGATTTCCAATGAAATGCATTTTACACGATTTTACAACGCATTTCTTGAAATGCCTGTAAACGGTGAAAATTCGACCTTTGACCTGACCTGTGACGTCATCGGTTTGACCGAGGTCAATGAAATTGGGTCACAAGGTAGTTCCCCGTTGGGGCTATCCAACACCGTTTACCGCTTGTCGCTATGTTGCGTGGTTCTCGAGATCTGAGGGGGGGCCAAAATGGCCCCCCCCCATCAGACCGCGTTGCTCGGCAGACCCCATCTG